CCAAACCAGCTTGTCTAACTGTCTTCCAAAACGCGCTAGCTGCAAAGCTAGAACCAACCCTACGCGATAATGTTAACCGGCACTGGTCGTTTATCAAGAGTGCTATGCATTCTGCTGGCTTAGTTAGTTGTGTTCTGACACGTCACGCCGTGACACCCGGGATCTCTGCGGAGTCTCTACGCCTTCTTGATGCATGTCGGTCAATTCCGACCGGCAGCGAGCATAATGAAACACGACTCGAAACGAGACGTGAACTTAATGCAAACTTACGCAGAGATCGCGAGCTTCGGTGGTCTCAACGCGCATCAAAGATGGAACGTGCTGCCGCCATAGGTCATTCCCTTAAGTTGTTTTATCTCATCCGGGTCAGTGGCAGGAAAGCCTTGGGTGTGAGCGAAACGATCTGCGAAGCTGACGGTTCGTTCATTCACAATAAACAGTGATGTCTTACACGATGGGTAGAGCATTTCGAAGCACAATTTAGTTGGCCTCCAGCGTCAGCCTCTCACACAGCTATTCCGGCACACGTCCCATGGTTTGTCTTAACAGACCCACCTTCTGAGGCGGAAATCCGTAAGGAGATCCAAGCCTTGGGACGTCACAAAACGTCGGGCTCTGATGGCCTTCCCTCTGCTCTATTTGAAGATGATGGAATAAAGCTTGTTAGAGAACTCCACGTCCTGTTCTCCAAAGTGTGGAACACTGAGCAAGTCCCCTCCTTGTGGGGGGAATCGATTGTTGTCCCCATCTTCAAAAAGGGTCCGCGCAATGACTGTGCCAATCATAAGGGTATAAGCCTTCTTCCAACAGCGTCAAAGCTGTTGGCGTCCGTCATTCTTCGCCAATTGTACACTACGCGTGAGAAGCAGACCCGCGAGGAGCAGGCTGGGTTTCGTGTCGGTCGTGGATGTATCGATCAAATCTTCACCCTCCGACAGCTGCTAGAGCACCGTCATGCTTATCAAAGACCAACGACCATTTTATTCTTAGACATCCGTGCGGCCTTCGACTCTGTCGATATGACCGCACTATGGAACTGTTTGTTGAGGAATGGAGTACCTGAGAAGTGTGTCGACCCTCAAAGAGTTGTATCGTCATAACTCAGGTCAGGTTAGGGCCTACGGCCGAATTTCGCCACTCTTCGCCGTCTCCAGTGGAGTTCGGCAAGGCAGCCTTATATTCCCATTCCTTTTAAACTTTGTCATAGAGAATGTTCTACAGAACGCTGTGTCCGGTATAGCAAACGGTGGGGTCGAAATCCTCCCAGGGAAGAGTCCTCGACTTAGAATATGCCGATGACATCGTCTTGCTGGATGACAACGCACAGGCAGTCCAAAATGCTCTGAACCGCTTGGCGATAGAGGTACTTTACTTTACTACGGCTGGCTCCTTGGAAAGGATAAGCCGGCTCCATGAATGTTTTTGATGGCCGCTATCCATGCTTGGCGGTTGGCTGAAAGATCCTTGTAAATGTTGATCCAGGTTGTTTTCCATCGGTGAGTGCCGGACACCATCCGAAGGCCAAATTGGTCGACATCTTCGAATACAGTATCCAGCTAGGATTTGACTTGTCCCCCTTGTCGACGGCGCCAGCCAGAACATGATATCGGGTCTGCGGAGAACATGGCCCAGCCATTGCAATCGGCGGCGTGGTTCGGAGCCGCAGAAAGGCCGTTCGGGCAGTGTAGATGCACCGCTTTACATCATCTTTGGCTTGTCCATTGGGTAGGATGGTGGACCCAAGGTACTTGAAGTCCGATAAGACTTCTATTGTCCGACCATCCAGTTGCAGAGGATGTTCCGCTTGATCAGGTGGAGTAGCGAACATCTTGGTTTTGTTAGGATTAATATCAAGGCCGATCTCAGAGGCAAATCTTTTGATACGGTTGAGAGCTGTTTGCAAGGCGGTCAGGTCCTCTCCAAACACTATCACATCATCGGCGAATTCGAGGTCGGTGGTCCAGCAATCCGTGGAAACTTGGACGCCTTGGTAACCTTCCATTGCCCGACTCAGAATCCAATCAACGGCGAAGTTGAACAACACTGGAGATAGCGGGTATCCTTATCTTACTCCTGACCTCAGATCGAAGGGACGAAACTCTTCACGGTAGGCACGGATACGGGCTTTGGTTTGGGTGTGATACGATTTCACTATATTGACCAACTTTGCAGGGACGCCATCTGCAAGCATCATCTTCCAGTGACTCGCGGTCAACTGAATCGAATGCGGCGCGAAAGTCAATGAAACATGTAGCGGTGGAGCGTTGAAACTTGTATCAGTGTTCCAGATAGAGGTATCCAGGTATGGTATGTGCTTTGCACCTTCCAAGTGCAAAGTGCTTGTTAAAGACTGGCAGGAGCCTGTGCCTGCACTCACCCTCTGTCGTGATCAGCTAGAAGTACCTCGGGAGCTTGATAGTAGCTGGTGGAGGTGTTGGAGAGATCACATCACGAATAGCGAAAGCTACAGCAGCTTTCGCCAACCTACGACAGCTGTGGCGCCACCATGACATTTGACTGTCCCTTAAGGGTAGGGTGTACATCGCCGCGGTTCGAAGCGTTCTGCTTTACGGTTGCGAGACCTGGCCTCTCCGCGTTGAGGATGCTAATCGACTTTCCGTATTCGACCACCGATGTCTCCGAAGCATTGCTCGTGTCTGGTGGGAACACCGGGTGAGTAATGAGATTCGTCGGCGTGTATTGGGTGCGGACAGTCGTTCCCCAACAGAAGTAATCGCTCTACACCACTTCCGATGACTTGGTCACGTATTGCGTATGCCTGCCCATAGACTACCTTTCCGTGCTCTCTTCGCAAGGCAGGAAAAAGCGGTGCGGTGGTCCGATCATGACATGGGCTAGAGGCATGAAGAAGCTGGCTTCGGTTGGTGCAGCCCGCCTTCCAGGTTGGAGCCCAAAGGATGAGGACTGTCGTTGGTTAGAGACGCTGAGAGATATAACCCAAAATAGAAGTCAATGGCGCGAATGCTGTACGGTTTACCTGTCGAAATCCCGTGCCCGGTAAGAAAAAAAATACCAAAAGGTGTACGGTGAAACACAAAAACTTTTTGTTATTCCAGATTTCTTCCATTTTCCCGTGTTTAACTGTTTCACCCCCTTTTCACGTTGTTTCGTACTCCAACCCACCTGTCCCCTTTTATTGTTATTGTAATTATTGTTGTTGTGTTGGCACTATGCTTGTCTGCAAGCCGGTGGTATATATATATATATATATATATATATATATATATATATATATATATATATATATATAT